GGACACCCTTAGTTTCCAGCTAGCAGGAGAGGTCACACCTGGAGAGAGCCTACTGCCTGCCTTCTGGCCTGGCATGTGAACACAAAGTCTATGGTGCCGGCGCACCAGCCACGAGAATATACTAGATACTACGCCAGGCCAGATGCTATCTCTTGCCAATTTCTCATGTGAGAAAAACAAGGCCTTCAGTTCAGTTCACGGAGGCGTAGCGTTCTGTGGGCTTACTGTTACTTACAGGACAGATGGGTCCCCTCTGTACGCAGCCACTGGGCAGAGCACACAGTGACACTGCCCCCACCCCCACCCCACCATACAACTGCCATGGACATGGTGCTGCCTCAGGCGGTGGCACTAACTCGCAGGTTAGTCTGACCTTGTACTGCAGCTGCCTAGAGCCTGTCTCTGTGGTTCCAGGTGGCGGCTGAGAGGGTGGGACCTGGGCAAGCCCCTGGATGCCTTACCTTTCTCAATCATCGCCTTCGTCTGACGGTGTGGCATCTTGATGAACATGCCCCCGAAGCAGACCATCACGTCTTCTGAAATGGCAAAGGGTCATTTCCTCAATCAATATTCTCTGAGCACCGATGTACACATAGAGCAGACAGTGGTGTAAGACACAGCCCCCACCCCCACCCCCATGGGGTTTATGTGACGGGGAAGAGAAGGAACTTGTGGATGTGTGATGAGTCCGACCTTGGGGGTGAGGGAGTAGTAAGGACAGGAGTGCAGGGCAGGGACTTGTCCCTGATGGCCTGAGGAGGCCTCACTGATGATGGGACACCTGGGCAGACCAGAAGGGAGGGAGGGCGTGAGCCCTATGGAAAGGACACCATGGGAAGAGTGAGCCCGCAGTGTTGTGCGTGGGGGGTTAGGAAAATGGCAGGAGGCGGTGAACGGGGCATGAGCAGAGATGATGCTGCAGAGTCGGGGGGTGGGGTGTTCTCTGTGGGCCTTGCAGAACTTTTTCTTCTCCTCTGGGGAAATGAGCAGCAACTGCTTGGTTTTACGCTTTCCACTGAACTTTAAACAAAAATGCAAACTTCTTTCCTTAGGTGCCTGCAGCCCTGTACTTACCTGCTCACCCTTCTTGCTCAGTGGCTGCTGGGAGCTAACAGGCCGTTACTGAGGGGAGCAGCTGAAAGCCTGAGCCACAGTCTGTGTCAGGCCCTGCAACACTTGTCCCCAACCCCAAGCCTGTCTAAGTCCCCACCAGGCTGACAGTAACACAGCTGTCACACATCTGTGACCTCCTGCCTGGCCTCTCCCAGGGTCCAGGTGAGAGTCTCAAGAG